CACAACAGCCTCTCAATAGGACCATCGGAGGGGAAGTTCTCTGCTGCTTCTAATTCTTATCCCTACCCATGCTGAGGACGCAGGTGGTCCTCCAGCTAGGTTATAATTATTTAATTGGGAATTAGGCTATTTCAGAGGGACTCTTTTTATAGTTTGATAGACCTCAGTTTATGTGACATTTTACAAATGTAAAATGGAGAAATTACTATTTTGTTCACAACTCTGTACTTGACTGAAAATGTGTGAACATGTGAACTAAATAACTAAGGACTAACTGTATGCTGTTAAGCTATATAAAGCAAATAGGGGTAGCCTGTGTGTTTGTTGACTGGTTTTGTTTACAGAAAACTTGGATAGCTCTGGAAAGAAAGGTTGAGCCCAGTGTGCTCTGGATTACTCTAGTTTATAAGATAAGATTAATACGCTAATTACATTTATACTTATGTTTTCATAGTGCAGTACAATACTGCAAAGTCTTGGTGTTCTAGTTGTTATTTAGTAAAATAGTTCTGAGCTGTGGCATCAAGGCACACTTGGTGATATAATTGGTTGATATAATCAGTAATTTCAGCCACATAATCGGTAAAAAATAAGTACAGAATTCAATGTACGCTTTACTTTTTCAAAATAAAACAATTCAAACTGAAATCATAGTAGTTTAATTCTCTCTATCACTTCTTGTTAATTTTCACCTGAGGACGTGCTTATTGATTTTAGGGAGAGGGGAAGGCAGGGGGGAAGAGAGAGAGAGAGAGAGAAACATTAGTCGGTGGTTTCCATATGTGCCCCCGTCAGGGATCAAACTGGAAACCTAGGTAGGTGCCCTGCCTGGGAATCAGACCCAAACCTTCAGTGTAGGGGACCCTGCTCCAACCTAGCCACATCGACCTGGGGTATCATTCTCTCTTATATTCAATATTTCTGAGTGCTTTCTTAAATGAGAGTTCCAGGAATATTTGGGAGGAGCATGTCTGTCTGTGTGTGTGTATGTGTGTATCAAACATAGGGAGATGATGCCCGGCTCATGTGGTTCAATGGTTAAGCATTGGCCCATGTACCAAGAGGTCACTGGTTGGATTCCCAGTCCCGGCACATGCCTGGTTGCAGGCTTGATCCCCAGCAGGGGGCGTGCAGGAGGTGACCAATCAGTGGTTCTCTCATAGATACTCCTGTCTCTTTCTCCTTTTTCCTTCCTCTGTCACTAATAATCAATAAAAATATATTTAAAAAAATAAAATAAAACACAAGGTGGGGCAAAAGTAGGTTTACAATTGTTCATATGGAAAATAATACAATAATTAATGGATAATAATACAGGAATAAACTCTGTGTTTCTCATACTCACAACTGTAAACCTACTTTTGCCCCACTGTGTGTGTGTGTGTACATATCTTTATAAATTGACCTGATAAGATGTAGATATTTATCCAGGAAGATTTGAGCTAGGTTGTGAAGGTGAAGATTAGACTGATTATTAAAATATTTTTGAACATCAGCACCCCCAAAACAGTTCTGCTTAAAGAACACCAATCTGGTGTTCCAGGAGGGAGGGAATCTGGAATCTGTTGCACTCTAGACGTGAGCTGGAAAGGCTTTTACTGGACTTCTATTTGAGGGAGGAGAAAGTATTGGGAAGGAGAGTTGTTTTGTAGCAAAATTAGAAATGAAATTCTAAAGAGGATTATTCAATTTTGTTAATTAGGAACCATTTTGTGACATTGAACTTGGGAGACAAATTCTTTTGAAGAAAAATCAAAGAATGCCAAAACTATGCCAGATCTGAAGCTTGTTTATTTATTTCCATTTGATCTGGGAGTTCTTAGCAGTCCTTCAAAATTATGTTCATTTTTTCCAAATGAGGGAAAAGAGACACAGTTATTATAAGAACTACTCATAGTCACAGTTAATTAACTAGAGACAGCAAGAATCCAACACTGGCTTCTCTGTCTCTAGCCTAGTTCTCTCAAAGAGAATTGGAGAAATTGTTTGCCCAGTGTGCTCTGGGTCTGCTCCTCTTGCTATTGGTCGATATGTTCACTCTGTGCCCCTTGAAACTAGGACTTGAGGGCAAGCATTCGATTCATGGTTATAGCCCTGATATTTGAGCTGTGCAAGGCAAATAGTAGGCATTCAATAAATAACTGTTAACCTACAAAAAGAAAGGCACAAACAAATAAGTCACAGAACTGGCAGTGGAACCAAGGCCTCTTAACTCACATTTCCCTTATTTGTCACAGTTGACCACAGTCCCTTTTTCTTGGTTTTCTGAACCAACACATGTCCCAAAATCCAAACCAATATACAAAATGAGTAATAGTGCTTGACGTGAAGGGCTTGTATGACTAGTGGCTTATCCTGTAATACTTGTAGAAAATGCTGACAGAATCTAAAAGATATCAGGAAAAACCAGCTGAGATATAACTTTTCCCTCTTTTCTTCTTAACTGCCATCCCTCTAAAGCAATGATAGTTGAAAGCATAAATTTGATTAAACATAGTGTTACCTCTCAGCTGCCATAATCCCTTCCTAAGATCTAGTAATGTGTATGTCTGCATGGCTTATGCATTTGACTCTTGGTTGAATTATGGTTGATTCTTGATTTCACGTACTCTTGTGAGGATTTTATTTTCCTCCTTATTACTTGGTATTTGACTAAATAAACAGTAGTCAGAGCAGAAAGATAGGATTTTGCATGATGGTTTAATACTTGCCCCCAGAAACAGTGTTCTGTCCTTCAATGTGTTTACTTTGCATCTGGGAGCTGGTGGGACTCATTGCCTTTAATGACCTAGCCCATGGAGCAACCAGAGACCACTTGTCCTCTGTGTCCTGGTGCATGTTTTTAATGCTGTATATGATTATTTTGCCAGTTGACTACAGACAAGGATTTTTCTACCCCATTTACTGTGACATTGATAAATGAACCAGTTTTTTCTCTTCTATCCTGAAAAACTTGAGTGGAAGAAAGTTCACAGACCCTTTTTATCTTTGCATATAGCATTTATACAGACTCTCAACCAATGATAGTTTTCATTTTGCATCTTTTTAAAATAACATCTGCAAGTTCTTTGTACATAATGTTCTAGTGATAGTTTAAAGCTGACTGTGTGCTTTTGAGGTGGTATGTATAACAAAATATATACTTTTTCATTAAGATTTCTGCATTCTGTTGTATAGTATATGTGTATATATGTATATATAAAATAATAATTATTATAAACTTACAATATACCTAGGTATTATGATAACTACTATATGTGTATCACCTCAGAAATTTAAAATTCTTATGAACTATTTCATTATCCTCTTTTAAAATAATATATTTTATTTTTAGAGCAGTTTTAGGTTTACAAAAAGAATTGAACCAAAAGTACAGGGTTCCCTTATGCTCCTCACCATCCTATTATTAGTGTTGTACTTGCATTAGTATTGAGACAATCATTGAACCAATACTGATACAAAGTTACTAATTAAAGTCCACAGTTGACATTAGCATTTACTCTTTGATATATTCTGTGGGTTTTATAAATGTGTAATGACATGTATTCACTATTATTAAATTATACACAGTAGTGTCGCTGCCCTAAAGATCTCCGATGTCCCACCTGTCTTCTTTTTTATAATAGAGAAAATTCTAGCAAAGTGAAATAATTTCCTAAGACTCACATAGCTACACAAATGTGGGTGCTGTTCTGCCTCCCTAGACTCTAGCTCTTAATTCGTATGTTAGACTGTCTGATTCATTACAGTTATTGTATCATTTAGGAAGCCTAATTGGGTAAGATTCTTGAGATTTTTTTACTAACTTCATGAAAGTATGAGATGTATACAGAGCATTTTGCCTGTGCTTTCCTTTTCTTCCTTTGAAGTTACAATGCTGGGGGAAAGACTGCAGGGAATTAAAATTTTGATTATTAGATATTTGATGAGATGAGTGAGTTAAAGAGGAATTATTTACTGAAGTAGCATTATTAAAATGAAAGAAGAAATTAAGTCAGTTGTCTGATCATTTGGTTAACACTAGCTATCGGTGTCAGAGGCTATAGGCTAGGTCTTGCCTGCTAGGAAATGAATGAAGAAAGAATATGCAAGAGTAAATTTTTTAAATGGGTGATCAACAAAAAAGAGGGGGATATATGGAGAAATGAATCAAAGTTGCTTGGAATGTAGACTATTAGATTAATTATACACCTCTAGCTTTGGAAGATGTATCTCCATAACAGTGATTCAGAGAAAGAAGAGATATCATTTGAAATTCATGTGGAAGATAGTGTATAAATTAAAAGGCACGAGTAGATACGACTGTGTGTTGGGTTTTGTTGTTGTTGTTGTTGTTTATTTTGGACCACAGCGACTGGACATCACCCAGTGCCTGCTGCCACTTGCAGTCAGTAATGTTTATTTAAAGCTATAGCCAGGAAGAGCGATGATCTAGTTTTAGATTAAATCCTGGATGAGCAGTATGTTAGTCGAAATTACAGCAGCAAGTCCGGGACACACTGGGTTGTTTGATATTCAACAAATTTGACGATTTTCTTCGTATATAAAGTTAGTGACTAGGACACAATCATTTCAAAAGCTAAAACAGTCATGATTGTTTACAAGGAAGAAGGAATGAAAAGGAAGATGTTGAAGGGAGGATATAAAATGGACAACCATAATGATGTTTCTCGCCATTCCTTCGTACTATCTTATCCTTTAGTTTCTGTGAAACCACTGTTTACCTTTTTCCTTGCTTCCCTGCACTCTTCTTTTTGGTCTTTGATAAACTCACTCTCGCCTGTTCTTCTAATCTTGGTGTTTTCCAGGATTCCAACTTCAGTCTTCTCTCTCTCTCTATTCTCCTTGATCATCTTTGTTTAGATAAAAACAGCACTTTTTTTTTTTTTTTTTTTTGATGATGGTTATCAAGTAGACATCAGTCCACTTCATTTGGACCCAGGAGGAGAAGAATCCCTCATGATCCGCTGCTGAATCATCCATTTTCTCTGTTTTTCAAGGGTCGTAAGAGTGAGGCTGAAAAGTTCTTCTTGAAGGCTATTGAGCTGGATCCCACCAAAGGAAACTGTTACATGCATTATGGTGAGTGGTTGATAGTTTTTTCCATGTCCCCCACATTTCCTGTTAATGTTAATGAGAGATTTAGGTTTTGCTGGCAAAGAACGTTTTGAGAGGACATTGACTTTGTTGGTGCAGATTTGCCCCATTCCATAGTCTTGCCTTCTTGTTCAAATGGTCATATTAAAGAGGGCTATGGATTAGGATTTCCTTCAGTAATTTTCATCGAAATTCAATGGGGAAGGTATTTTTCACAGTTGTTTCATTCAAAATCAGCGTGGAGTTTAAATGAGGTCTTATCAGGCAAACATCTTGCCCCTTGCCTGATGATTAATATATACAATCCAAACATTACTCTCTCTTTTCCTTGTAAAAGATAATGCGTAGCTTATGGAATGTATCATTTTGAAGTTTTAGAGGTTTACATTTTGGCCTCAAAATCTTACTTTCTGAAAGACAGGGATGTCTCCCAGCCTCTGTATGCTTGAGATTGAGGCCAGGGGTAAACTGGAGAGGGTGTAAAGGATGGGTCTCTCCCTTGGTTTGGCCTTGGCCTTCATCATTCCAGAGTGATCTTATATAACCACTCTGTCACACTGCACTCCCGTTAGTAGGGAGTCATGTGTTAAGTGAGAAGTAATATAGTTTGTTTGGTGTTGTGAAAGAAGTGCTTATTTCTACCAGATCTGCAGATGGAATAGCTTTCAGGGAGCCAAAACACATTTACTTTTGCTGATCCCTTGGGGAAGAGAAACGTTTTTGTTGACCACTCTTGGCTTTGGTGTGTTAGTTATTATCAAGTCGTAAACTTAAAGGTGGATGGAAATTAAATCTTGAGGAAATAAAGCTAATGGGCTTATACAATATTTAATGCCTTTTTTTTGCATTTTCCAGTGAGTTAAAATCAATGACAGGCTCTGAGTGTAGAAAATGAAGATGATAACACGGAGGATACTCTTAACCAACCACAGGTCCTCTTGTTTATTTACATTGTGAGGCTATGTTTATAACCTAAGTTTGCGATGCTTTATCTTTCCAGCGTAACACAGCATGCGTGCGATTTCACACGGCCTACTGCCGAACCACTTTGGTTTCACAAAGCAGTTTTATTGCCATGTTAAGATAGCAGCCAACTAATTTAAGGTTGCAACAGAATTTATTATTACAGGTTTTCTTCTATGAAGTATTTTAATTTAGGATTTTCTCATGCATACTATTTTGGGCAGCCCTGCTGGGCATTAAAGCAGTCCCACGATTGTTTTGTCTGAGTGCTGCAGGCCCTCCTTCACTGCATCTATGAAATAGGATTTATTCTTTCTTATCTTGCTGACTGCATTTCCTTTGCCTCAAACAAATTCTACTTACTGCGCCTTCTAAGTTTGTTTCTCATAATTTTATTACATGCTTTGGGTTTCTTTGCAACAAATTCCTTTAAACTTTATTGTTGCTTCATTTGAATTGAAAATGGAAAAAAAAATCATTGTTGTATTAAAGAATTAATCCTCTTGGTCTTCTTTTAGTCTGGCTGGTCTGTCTTTACCCACTTCTATCTTTTTGTTTATTATTAATAATAATAATTATAATATTATTATTAATTTTATTACATCGAACTCCTGATTTTTTTTTCAGGGGTGGGAGATTTTTGGATATAGTTTTAACAGAAAGTGCAACAAATTCATTATTGTATATGTTATTTGGAAAACAGTGGTAACACATGTTCTGTAAGTGCATGTGCTAAAAACGGATTCTTCTTAGTACCCCTGGATTATTTAAAAATTTTGGCATACATACATTATTAGAAGTATATTTATTGAGGGAGGGATGACTACACAATTTAGTATAATTGTATAATACTTTCAATATTTGTTCCTCCCATTCTGAGGTAGGAAATGGAAAGGACTCAAGATGAGGCATCAAAAGGAAAAGTTATGGCAAAATAATCTACAAATAGACAGGAAGCCCATACCTGAGTGACTGAAATGTCTGTCTCACTATGCTTACATAATTAAAAATGCACATTTAATTCAGGGTATTTGTCTCTCAAAAGACTAAAATTTAGAACTGGGAAGTCCTTTTAAAATGATCTAACGTAATCTGTTTTGTATACAAATAGAAGCCTAGAAAAATGAAGCTGACACGCCCCCGTTAGTTGTAACTCAGTTTTGGATTTCTTGATAACCATTATCGCTAGTTTCCCATTTCATCTCACCACATTGGTAGATAGACAAATGAGTGGGTAAGTAGGTAAATATTTTTGATTAGTAGGACTTCTCTGCAGCTTTAGAATATCAAATTCATGTAAGTCATGGTTTAGCTTGAAATTCTTAGGGGAGGATTTTTATTAATTTTAACATGGATAAGACATATCTAAAAGGTGCAAGGCACTGTTCTGTTTTCAGAAAGTGAGTAGGCTTATGTAGGAAATAAACAGCATGTTGTCATCTTTGGAAGGTGATGAGGTGAGAAGTCTGGTACTTGCTGAAGCCAATTAGTCAGGTGAAGCATCTTCGAAGAAATAATATTCAAAATCTTTAAGCTTAAATCAGCTATTTAAAGAGCCAGGTAAAAAAAAAAAAATGTCAGAAGAAACAGTGAGTTCAAGGTCACAGGCAAGACCAAGCTGACTTTCACAGCAGAGAAAGAAGGCCGAGGCGCGTAGGAGTCTATGGAACCAGGTGGGAAAGTGGGAGGACAGACACTGCGGAGGAACTAGAGGTGGAGCCCAGGGGCTTTGTAGACCACGCTAAGGGGTTGGCATGTTGTTAATCTAAGAGCAGTGGAAGGGACCACGTAGAGAAGACAGGACTAGAGAAAGGTCAGAGTAGAGCAAAGGGAGCTTGGTTGATGTGTTTTAGGCAAAAAACGATGGTGGCTTGGACTAGGGAATGATTGTGGCAATGTAAACATTTATATTGAAATCACACATTTACCTTCTTTAGAAAGTTCTAAGATAAATAGAAACAGGGAAGCCCTGTTTTCCATCGTGCACCATCGATATCAAGTGCATTGCTGTACTTGGAAATGTGCAGTGTCAATTGACCTCAGGAGTACTCTCTACTTTAGAATTGGATATATGTTCCAGAATTGACTGAGAGTTTATTTTGTTAGAATTTGTATTACTTCTTGCCCAAGAAGGTACATACTGTGATTCACATATCAATTCTTCTTTCCAATTTACTGTTGATAGATATTCTTAGAATATTTATACCCATGGATTGAATGAATAATAACACATCTTCAGCTTAAGAATAAATGTTTAAATGACATATGCATGTTGTTCTGAGTCTTTTAAAAATGCCTTTTCACATGCCAATGAAAATGCACAGTGGGTGAGTTATGTTCTATTGGAAATTCACTGTCCTGGGTGATTGTATGTGATTTTTATTTGCTTATCGATGATATAAGTGACTTGGAAAATAGCATACGGTTGAGACTGGACAGAGAATGAGAGGAATTATATTGGCTGTGGTGGCTATTAGGAGGCAGTATCTAAAAGCACTGTCAGTTACTTGTATTTCAAATCCAGTTGTTTTATGTCTGGGGGAAAGGATTGCATTGCAGATTGCCTTTTATTCTTGAGGTTGCTTGCAAGAAAGAAACCTAGGAAAGTCTATAAAATCGGTTCAATAAATTTGTTAAATATCTGGCACTGTGGTCCCTGTAGTCTCCGGGATTAAGAATCCTCATTTGTAAAGTGAAAGGGTTGATGTGGGCTTCCAGAATGTTCTCCAGTGCTCAGATTTTATGTTGTTTCTAAAATATACTCAATTTCTCATTAATCTTTCATCAAAAACTTAAGAAATGGGTAGAAAATAGGTTTCAAACAAGGGTATTGGTGAATAGTATCATGTTGACTTGATGTGCTTGACAGTGTATTCCAGTGTCCATATGAAACAAACCATGTGAAGTCTCTGTGGAATTGAGTTCATAAATGTCAAAGGTGAGGATTTGGTTCTTTGCTGTCTCCTGTGGGCCTGTAATTCTAGGGGTTTTCCACGGATTTTCCCTGTGGTTCCAACAGGAAGCTTCTGTCAAAAGAGTGAAAGTCAAGACATGGAAAGATGTTACACATGTTTTCTGTATGTGCGTAGCAGTAAATTTGATGTTGATTGAAACAACTTAAACCAGTAGACATTTGTTATCAGGTACCTACTATGTATAAATCCATAAAAATGGGAATTCATGAAATATTAAGGGCAAAAGCATCAAAAGCTGAAACGGGACAGATTGTGATTATGCCTGAGAGGTGCTCTTTTATGTAGACTCTGTCTGTTTTTTGTTTTGTTTTTTTTTTCTTTTCTCATCTTCCTCTTATCCATGTGTTGTTGAGTAAAGATTTTAGCCTAATTTTCTTCATATTAATACTCTCTCTGGGTGATGCTCATTTCCAAGGGTTCAGCGATATAGTGATGAATCCTGAACCTCTTTCTCCAGCTCAGTATCAAGCACTATGCTCCGTGTAGGGACATGGCAAGGAACAAGACAGGTTCCAGTGGAGATTGCAGACTGGCGAGGGAGGCACACATTATGAACATAATGATTTGCTAACAATTGCAGTTAGTTTTTAAAAGGAGACCCAGTATAGTTATGGTGCCTTGACCCGGGTGGCTGGGGCACAGGAGAGCTCTGCCTGATGAACATGTAAGCTATATTGCAGCGATGAGTAGGAGCTCGCCAGACAATCGCATAGGAATGAGGGGAGCAATGGAGAACATTAAGGAACAGAAAATGCTTGAGGCAAAGGCATAGCCTGTGTCTGGGGAATAGTTCAAGGACAGAACTCGGACAGTAACTAGGAGCTATGAGAAGTGCATTCTGGCTTCATAGAAGGGGTAACATCCAAATTATGAGAGCTGTCAGGTTATGGATGAGTGCTTACTGAAGATTTTCCAGTTTTGGTTTATAAGGACACTAGAGGGAATTCAAGCACTTGCAAAGGGAGGAGGCCTGAGGATATTCTATCATTCTTTCTCTTGGGCCCGCAGAGAAGTAGAGAAATTTTGAAAGCTATAATTATCTGGATT